TGATTTCCACATTCTTAAAATAATGCAAATTCACATTCCTAGATCTTTAATAAATGACAATAAGTCTGTTTATATATACATAAATATAATAACATATATACAAGATATCTAAGATGTACAGACTGATTCTACTAGTCACAACCCCCTGGGAAAGAATTATATTGCTTATTTTCTAGAGGGGTTAAAAAATAGATGCCTTAAGGGACATCTATGTAGTTCCAACACACATACACATACACACACATTTCATTGCAGATGATCTTGAATATATAATGGTCAGTGGGTTTCTGTTGATGGAATACAAGGCTTCCAAAATTACTTGAAACATCAAATTATGCTCAGGACTTTGAGGGGCGGATACCCTATGTTCTGTTTAATGTGTATGTTCCATTGCATATATTTTTTTAACCAAGTATATCTTTATTTTAATAACAGGCCAAGGACTAAAAACACTTTAGAGAAGGGCTATTTTTCTACCTCAGCAAAACTACAGAGGACATGCTAGATTGTTGGATGACCCCAAAGCCTAAGTTCATTCTATTAAAAGATCTTAAACCCTTAAAAAAAAAAAAAAGTTGAATGTAAAAGGGAAATACAATCTTTTCTCTTTTGAAATAATAATATTGAAGCCTCCCTACAAGCATAATGGGGTTCATCCTTGGCTAAAATGAATTTAATGAGTTTTTGACATTTTACCCAGGTTGACAATATGTTTCTAAATTTCCAAGTATTTTATACATTTTAATATGTCAATATCTATATTCTTTCATATCTGCACTCCTTTCAAAAAGTAAAATGTCTCCCTACAACTGCTAATATGGTGACTGCACCTGACCTGAACTGCATTTCTTTTAACCTAAAAGGAAATGTTCCACATGTAGACAATTAAACTAACTGTTGTTGCAGACAATGTTCAGCTCTAAATGAGGCCCTGCCCAACAATCGTGATCACATTTGCTTCCCTATTTGAATACATCAGTGTGTATTGCATAATGATTTTTTCCCCCTTGTAACAAGACAGTTATGTTCTTCAAAGGGCTGCCTATTAGCAAGAAGAATAGGCCGACTTTGGGTCAACTAGTTTATAAGATAACTTTAACAAGCAATTTCTCAACAAAATTAAATCATTATTTTAGAAAATTCTTTTTCAAAAAAAAAAGCAAACTTTTTTCAAAAACAGCAAATAACCCTAAAAGATATTCCCAGTGTTCATTCCCCTAAAATCTAGAACATTTAACACCAAAAAATTATCAAAATTCATAGAAAAATGAAAAATATCAAAAAGATTTCTGATGTTTAATGCCTCCTATCAGCAAATACACCATCTGGTATACTACAGCGCTGTTCATTCAGTTTAAATAAAGCTGTCTGAAAGTTCTTCTTTAAGCCAAACATTTAAAAATGAAAATACTTGTGTTAACAATGAATGAAGCACAATAATTTATTGCTATTAAAGCACAACTGGCCAGCGCCTTTCAGCAGTCCAGGAGGAAAGCAGAATGCCTTGCTTCCTCTGGAAACTTGATTGGCATCACTTTCATTTTATGCTGTATGTTTCGTGGCTGAAGCATTACACACAGCAGAACATTTTAGGTACTTATGTTAATGGTGGCAAAAAGGATCATCTGATTCTTATTTTCGTCATCCTTAATAATCTTCTTTTTCTAAATCTTCAAATAGATCTGTAAGTTTTAATCAACAATTTCACAAATATAAATTTCCCCACCATTAATCATCCTTTTTCAAAATCCTTATGGAGTGAATTACTAGCTGAGAGGGGAGGCCAATTCTAGTAAGTGAATGTTACCCAGCAGGGATATAAAGCTGTCAACACCACGGTGCTCTTGCTTGCTCTAAACTCTCTCCCAGCCTTCATATGTTTTTTAAAGAGATATTAGCCTTTTTTTTTCCTGGGGACCTTCTATAAAAGCTGACTGTCATACACATCTGAACGCTTATTTTATTACATACATGGTTTAAAACACACTACTTAGATAAGAACAAAAACATCCCAGAAAGTGTTGTAAGGCAAAGCAAAACTGACTACTTTCTAATAGTCTTCTAAAGCTAACCACATTGTAAACAACACACTAACTTTTAAGTCCCCTATTAAAACGCAACCTTGAAGACTGTGATAGTGTATCTACCACCTCAACTAGTTAAATCCAGACACTAAAATAATTTCTCTTTTTTTTTAACAAACACGTTCTCAAAAAATATACCAAACTGTCTCTCTCTAAAAATGTGGAATCATGGCAACAGAATTCACTATTGCAACCAATGCATTCAGAAAAATTTATTCACCTCACTGTTTATCAAAAATAGTAAGATAAACTGCCATGTTATTGGGCAACCAATTAACTTAATGATCTCCCCTATTTTTAGGGGCAAAGCTTTTAAGAAAGAGAATCACTAAAGATTAACAAATACATCCTCCCAAATTTTGAGCTCTATTTTTAAAACATTAATTATTATAACCATCTTTACAACACTGACAGGATTACAATATATCTGAAAATGGCAATAAATGATAGTTATAAGAATTTTGTAGTTGTCTAGCTTATTATATTGTTTCATAAAGAAAACTTAAACAAAGGAAGGTAGGGTAAGAGAAATATAATCTATTTTATATTTATTCTATGTCCCAAAAAACCTTTCAATTACAAAGAACTGCTAACTAGAAATGTATTTTAAACATTCTTTTAAAATTTAAAATGTGTATTTTTTAAAAGGTTTTGCTTTTCTCCAATCTATACACATGATTAAAAGTTACAAAGAAATGAAATTATCACCATCTCAATGTACATTAGGAAATTATACAAACTTAAACCCCAAAACTAATATTAACATTCAATGAAAAACTTTACACTGTCAAAATTTTAGGAGTTGTTATATTTTAAAGTTTTCTAAATTAAAATCTTTCCAAATAATCTCTTATGCTATATAGAGCAAAATCTTTCTTTAAAAAAATTTTTTAAAACCTGCCATATGTGAATTCTTTTAACCACTTTACTATTAAGTATTATATGTAATATCTATTGAGACAAACTAATGACATCTATTTTCAGTTTGGAAAGCAACTAATAAGACCTTTGCTATTACTAAATTAAAGCTCAGAAAAAAATGACTAAAGCAGCTTGTTGAAACAAACCCATTATTCCTCCTGAAGACTTAATTTTGCTTTATATCAAATTTGTAATAAGTGGTCAAATGTAAATCATAATCTCAGAAAATAAGAAACGTAACCACTATTTTACACAAAAGGTATCCCTGGTCAACGAAATTGATATGCTATAGGAAAAAAAAAAAACAACCTTATTTTAAGGAATCACAATTGGTAACAATTACGTTCTAAAATGTTTAGATAGACTTCTTTCAATCTAGTGAATTTTTTAGTAGGTCTTCAGAAAGAAACCAAAATTTCTAGTCCAAGTTTTTTTCTATGTGCATAAGGCCACTTCGAGAACACATCTCCTCCAAGGGATTTCCCAGTTTTTCAATCAAATAGTATCAGCACTTATATCATCTTACACTTGCTTTTATCATATTCGCTATATATTTTTCTTTCTTATATGCATATACTAAAGATGTTACAAGAAGTCTTAAGTTATTGTTCTAGTCTCAAGATAACACATAAACAAACACCACTTTTAAAAAAGTGGGTCACAGAACTATCAAGTTTTCTTTTGCTTCATTAAAGTATATCTTTAAGTCCGTAAAATAAAAGGCACGCAAGCCATAATGTATAGCCAAATAATTTTTTAAAGCTTTAGAAATGGTGAGAATGAATGCTTCTCCAGGGAGATGATTAATATAAGGAACTACGGCAAACCATTCTGAATGTATACCATGAAGAAATAATAATAGCAAACCAAGTAAAAATAGAAACGTGTTATTTTATAAAAAGTCCATTTTAACTCTTTAAAAAGGCATGGACATTTATTCTTAAGTCTTTACTTTGAAATACATACTATGGCTATTTAGAACATGGGGTTGGAGCTTATCATTAAGTTTTGCCACGGTTTTGCATCATTTCAGGCAGGAATATAAAGAATTATATTAAATAAGCTACTGCTGAAAATATTAGGGGAAAAAAACCTCTAGAAGCAAAAAAAGATTTAAACTAATGATTGATCTCAAACACAAAAAAACTGCCTGCCAGGTTGAATTGTGCATTTTATATGCAGAAAACAACTAAGCAAATGGTGTAAGTCTCAAAATATTTTAATAATGTTTACATTTCTTATGTATCTTTATTTTCTAAAAATTTTTTCCTAATCACTTTAAAAGAAAGTGGTGTTTAAGTAGTAAAATCTACAAAAGCTTTTCTTTAAATAGTATTAAATTCTTGGAAAGGTAAACAGCATGTAGCCATTAAGACTACTTTGCTATTTTTACCTGTTGTGCTAGGATTCATAACAAAGTTACAAATGCATATGACCTTAAACTTTATAGAAACGGTGACCTTAAAGCCTCTAAGGGCCTGACAGATTCATAATGATTCTTTATTTCCTACTTGAAATGTGGCAGGAAATATTCCCAGTTGTTACTAATCTATCTCGAAGCACTGTCCTACCTACAAACTAACACCAACACTCTTGCTCCTGAGCATTAAAAACTAGTCCACAAAAGCGATCGCACCTAAACTTCATCTCTACAGCAGACACTCTGAGGCAAAGCACAAGAGTTAAATCACTAAAAAGCTCTCTAGGAAAATCTAGAAACAGTTAGCTGGCTGTGACATAAACCTGCCAACACCTCAGCACACAGTGGCAAAGTGCCCAAAAAATGCCACCCTCTGGGTAAACCACTTTCTTGTTTTAACTCTAGATGAAGCTACCAGTTGCAGATGAGAGGCGACGGGGGCATTATTTGGCAACCTGGAATTCACTTCCTGTAATCCTACACCGCGACAGCGCCTAATCAACCTGAACCCTGACACCCGGGCCATTACCGCGGGGCCGCGGGGCTGCGCGCGCCTCCCCGCTCCGGGCTGTTACCTCCCACGGCCTTGGCCACGGCGCCGTTGGGCCTCCCGCGGGCTCCCATGGGGCTGCCGTTCTGCTCCAGCCGGGCCACCTTCACCGGGGGAGGCCCCTTGACGTCGGGGCTGCCGCTCCGCCGGTCGGGGCTGTCCCGCAGACACGGGCTCTCGCTCCGCCGCTCCATGCTGCTCCGACTCGGAGACAAAGTTCCCACCGGCAGGTCGCAATAAAACGCGCAGGGACCTAGGGAGGGGGCGGGGGGAGGGAAGGGGGAGGGAAAAAAAAGAGGGAAAACCGCTCACACACGTGATAGACGTTCAGGCCAGTGGCAGAGCGCTGCACCACAGCCACACAAACTTCCTCCCACGCTGCCTGAGGGGCCCGAGCCGGGAAGCGGGTCCCCACCTTACACTGGGCGGCCCAAAGGAAGCTCGAGGTGCGGCGACACTGCCCAGTCGCTCTCCAGGAGTTAGCTCTCGGTGACGATCACCAGGCCAGCGCCCAGGGGCGCCCAGAAGTGGCCCATTCATTGGGGCAGGGTTGGCATAAGCCGTTCTCGGATGAGACAGCCTCGCCGTGTGGGGGTCAGGGTTGCGGAAGAAGTGAACGTCATAAAAAGCCATCTCACCCACTCGAAGAAGGGGTGGGGATGTACACAAGTCCATAAGAAACCGAATTAACCACATGATGAATGTGCTGTGAATGGCGGGGCAGGAGCCAAAGGCCTGGCATAAGGACTCCTTGAATCCCCGCTTTTTACCTTTACCGAGCAAGTCTTGAGACACAAACACACTTTGCACAAAACCAACTCATGAGCATCCAAAAACATTTCGAGGTATTCATCAGAATACTCTCCAGAATAACCTTCATCACAATGGCGGGGGCTACAATCGTTATTATTTTGGAACGTTCTTATGTTCTTCCGATCCTAAGTGATTTTTTAAAAGCTCTTCGGCATAAAACACAAAAGCAAAAAGCACTTAAATTATTAGGTTAAGGAGCAGACTTCATCAACCCCAATTTAAAAATTTTTTCCAAAAAGTTTTCCTCTGGGTCTCTTGGCTGGCAGCGTGCTCCTCAAGGAACCCGCAGATCTCGGCAGCCCGGGATATTTGGGGGACGGCGGAAGAGGAGGAAACACCTGATGAAACGGCACTCACATTGTCACTGACATCCCCGAGAAGCAGGAACCCGGCACAGCAAAGTGCGCTAGGAATCCTCGCGGGCGCTCTCGCCGTGGGAGAAGCCGCGTGTCAAGGAGACAAGGTGGGGGTGGCAGAGGGGAGGTGAGAGGAGAGATGAGAGAGATGCGCAGACCGAGCGGGAGGGCTGCGGGCGAACATTCCGCCCGCACTCCCTCGGCAGCGCTGTCCGAGAGAGCGACAGCTGCCGGGAGGGACCTTAGCCGGACCCGGGGCTTCCCCGAACTCCCAAGCTTGGAGTGGGAGTCCTCGCCCTGAGTACTTACTGCTCACGGTCTGTCTGTAACTTGGCTGGCTGAGGCTCTGTCCATGGAGCAAAAGTAGAGAATCCAGGGTGGAAAGTTTCTGGTGCTTTGCCTTGCAGTGTTCTCCTAGGCTTCTTTCCTCTTTACTCCTTCCCCTTTTCCTCTTTCCCAGGTCCTAACGTTTAAGGTCCTGGGTCAGGGTGTCTTCTAGTGCAGAGATGGTTGTTATGATGATGATGATGGGGGGGGTAGGGGGAGGAGGAGGAGGAGAGGGAAAGGAGGGTTCCTCCAAAGGGGCACCCGAGCGAGCGGGGGAGGAGACGGCGGAGGAGGGGAAAAGAGAGAAGAAGGCTGAAAAAGCCTTTTCACACCTTCGGGAAGGAGACCCGTTCTGGAGAGAAAGGGCTGAGGACTGGGAGGAGGCGGAGGCGGGCCGGTGCTGCCGCTTCGCAGGTCTGCTAGTTCGCGAGGAGGCGCGGCCGGAGCCTTAGGGCCGGTGTCACCGAGAGCCGAGAAGGCACTGGGACCCGGGACCGCGCGCGGGAGGAAACGCGGCGGCCGCCCAAGCTGTCACCTCCAGCCTCTCCCCTCTCGGCCGCCGCCGCCAGCAGCCGGAGCCGGACTCACTGACAAGCCGCAGAGAGAGATACACTGAGAGGGAGATGATTATTAGTTGCGTTGAGTCATCAGGCAAAGTGAGTCCTTTTGGGTTGTCCTCGGTTTCCGATTTCTCCCCCTCCCCCTTTCCGTCCCCAGATCTAGCGCCTTCAAAATAATAATTTGGGGTGGGGGTAGGGGAAGTCTCTGGGTTATTTCGGGATGGGGGTTGGGGGGGGAAGATCTAAACCCAAGCCAGACTGGTCCACCGCAATGAAGGAGGAGAGTGGGGGGCGGGGAGGAGGGCTGGGGAGGTTGCGGGGGGAGGGGGGCCCCGCCTGGCAGGAAATTAAACATCAATCAATCAATCGCTGTGAGCCCAGCGACCCAAACAGCGGCGGGGCTGAGAAGGAGGCAGAGGGACTGGCGAGAGGCGGGTGGGAGGCAGGGAGGAGGGTGGAGGAGGAAGGGGAGAGTCGGCTGTAGCAGAGCGGTGTGGCGAGGACCGCGCGCGTCGGGAGGCAGAGGACCGATGGCAGAGAACCGAGTGCCGCGCGAGGCGGTGGCCGAGGCCGGCGGGTGGGTGCGCCCGGGTGCAGGCGGGCGCTGAGGCTCGGGTATGGTCCTCCTCCTCGTGGCGGGTCCGGGGCGCGGCCGCCTCGCCCGGCCCCGAGGAGCACTCGTCCCGGCGCGGAGGCGGCGGCGACAAGGCAGGCGCTGGTTGCCTCGTTTTCCGGCGGAGGCGCAGACCGACGCGCAGTAGGCAACCGCGGCTGCCTCGGCTCCCGGTTCTGCTAACTGCGCCGAGTACTTTCGACTTTGGAGATAGGAGGGCTATCGCCTCCCCCACCCACCGCCTCCGCCCACCACCCACCGCCTCCGCCCCTCCGAGCAACTTTTCCCGATGCCTGTGAGCTCCCCCTTCGCGCGGAGCCGGCCGTCCGGGCCCGCCGCGCCGCAGCGCGCGCGGGGAAGGCCGCTTCTCTCTCAGAGCCGGCGCGGCCGTGGGTCCAGAACAATAGCCCGGGTGTCCTGAGTGGCAGGAGTACCAGCACTGCCCGCCGGGCTGCGGGTGGGACAGGAGAGGGGGCTGCGTGGGGGGCGCAGGGCGGGGGGCATCCCTGGATGACGTCCCTGGAGCGCTCGCAGCACCGGCGACATCTCGAGCAGCTCCGCCCGGGCCGCCTGGAGGCCGTGACGCGGAGGCAATGAGGGCGGTGGGGCTGCCTGTCCTCCAGCTGCGCGTCTGGGACTCCTGGGACCCCAAGCGGCTCAGGCACTAGGCTTCGAGTACGGGCAGAGTGTGCGGTGAGGACCCGGTCTCCTCGTCCCGGGGGAGGCCGCGCGGGGGCGTCCACAGCAGGTCCCGCGACGGTGTAACTGAGCCACAAACTTTTGCCGACTCCCGCGGCCGCAGCCGCCCGCAGCCCTACTCCAGCCGCGGTGCTCATTTAAGGTGGCGCAGGCACTAGCGGAGCAGGCCGAGCTCCGGCCGCGCTTTTGTCCCTAAGGTCCGGCTTGGGCGCGGGACCTCCTTAAAGAAAAGCACGTGGGTAGGGGCCGCGGCCCCCGCAAGTCGCCTGGGGCGCCGGCTTACACTCTTGGTCCCGAACTGTGGCGGGAAAATGAGGACGCGTCCCCGCCCGCCTTGAGGCCGGTGAAGCCCCTCTGCTGGCGGTACCTCCAGTCTCTACCGCGCACCTTGTGTCTCCTTCCTAAACCCCTGGACCCGGAGAACTCCCCACCATCTCGCTGCCTGAGCCGCCGGTCCCCCTTAAGAAGTATTGGCTGTACGGCGGCGCCAGAGGGCCAAACTAAATTCGGTTTTGGGAAACGCGCTTCGGGGGTAATTCTGGAAATCTCGGGCCGGTGCACAGACTGCGGGAAGCCGCCTCAGTCTAGTGTACCCGGAGGTAGGCCGCCATCTACTCGCCGCACCTACGCGGTGGGCGGCGTGCGCGCAGTCATCCCCTCAAAAGCAGAGGCCTGGGAGGCAAGGAAGCCTCTGGAAGAGAAAGGGTCCCAGAAACTAAACCTGCCCCGGCCTAAGTCTCAACGCCCAGATCCCGGAGAACCCCCGCACCCAGGCGCCGCCCACCAAGTTCCAAAGCAGCCCGTGGCCACCCGGGAGGCGGTCGGAGCCCAGCGGAGAAAGGAAGCAAGCTTGATAGTAAACCTTCGGGGAGCCACCCTGGGAGTTTTAGGCAGCATTTTCCTTTCCTTGTTTTTTTATTCCCCAAACCCCATCTCCCCTACCTCCCTGAACGAACGGGTTAGAGAAAATGCAACAATTCGAAGTCTGTGAGAACAAAGTGGCTCAAGTAAACCAACTCGTGGTGGTAGCTAAAAGGTTTTTGGCTGCAAAGAAACTGTAAGTTTGATCAACAAACTTTTTTTTTTTTAATCTGTACTTTCACGTCGGAATGGGAAGGGGGTTTTGCAAAAGGCAACTACCACTGTCAAAGTTTGAGCCCGTTTTCAAAATGGGGAGAGGCGCAATTCTTATAAATATCTTAACAACGATAATAACGCTGTTTCTTTCCTTACCTTGGTGTTGAACTGCAGAATCCTCCTCCGGATCAGTGTCCAGGAACTTAGAAGAAATGGTGATATTAGGACTTCAGTACTTCTGGAAAAAAAAAATGCAAATGGTTTAGCCAGGATCTTTCCTGTCTGATTCGTCACTATTATTATATCTGATGATGCGAATGGTTGGAGCGATTCAATCTTAAGTCATTAATGAGCTATTTTATAAACACCACTGTCTGAAGATCTTCATTTACATTTTGCGAAGGATCACTTCGCTAACCTCACATGCTTATGTCAACAGCATGATTATGGGACTTCAGTCACACTCTTATAAACAACACAGCGGTATTGTTAATGGGTTAATATTTTATAAAGTGTAAATATTTTATTATGTTTTGAAGGGAACTATTGATTCTAAATTATTAAACCCCTGAGAAGGGTGATTTAAATAAAGTATACAATTAAGTACAATTAAATGTACATTGTGGCTATTTTCTTTTCAGACTCTGCACCCTTTTAAATCAATTGATTTTCTCATTATTAGAGTTTCTTCTTGTCCGTTTTTGATAGTGAACAAAACTATCATTTTGGTCTAAAGAACTCTATATAAAGGTGCGTTTAGCATAAAAGAAAATATCGGAAACTATGAGTTATTACAAGAAATGTATTTTGAATATTTGCAGATTTATGTTTATTAACACATTTTACAAATTTCTTTCGATTTAGAAAAGGAGAATTCTAGTAAATTTTGTGATATATGCCCGGTGTGGGTTATTTTTTTTCCCCTTGAGTTTTGTCCCTAATAAAGGCCTTTTCTGTTTCAAATTACATAAGCTTTTTACTGCACGATTTTTGTGTTGACCTTAATTCAACTGAAGTAAGCAATTATTTTCACCATGTTTAATTTTGACAATAAGAAATTTTAAATAGCATTTTTATCTTTTGCTTAAGACTTTCTAGTTTTTAAAACAGTAAATAAATTATGATTCAAAAGTTTTGTTTGGTTTCGTTTTATATTCCTCAAGTGGTTTATTTTCAAACATTTTTAAAACAATCACACTCAAGAAAAGAATTGGTTTTAATTACGTTTGTGTTTTTTTTTTAATAATTTGATCCAAAACGCATTTTTGTACAGATAGTTTGCTCCAGTGCTCAAAGCATAAAGTTCATATTGGGGGACGTTTTTATCCCCCAACTTGCTTCTCACTGACGTTTCTGTCGGGAATCTACTAAGACATTTTCCCCTCTCCTCCCCCACACCCAATTTTTTTCATATGTCATTTAGTCAAAGGTCGCCTGTCTTTCATAATCACACTGAGATTTGTTATTTTAAAAATCAACGGATCTTTATGCGCTGGGCTTAAATATGCATGTTTTTGCTTATTTTCATGTTCTTCCCTTTTCTCTCTATCTCTTGTCAGGCCTTTCTTCTCCTTTTATGGCCTGCACTTTTAAATGGCAACATTTCTTGATTTCTCTCTCTGGACACCGAGGTTTCTACTGTGCTAGCTCTTGACTGTGGCCAACCTTCCTTCCCCAATGACCGCGCAGGATGGCCTAGGCCCGACTGCCCGGGCGTAGGGTACCGGGTGCCGGGCGTGGAACGCCGGCCCTCAGCCGGGCCACCCACACCTCTGAGGGCCCAGCATCCATCACCGGGCTTCCTGGATTTCAAGTCTGGTCGCCCAGGCAAAGAGGCCCTCCCGGCGGTGCGCTGCCTCTTAGAGAACACGGGAAAGTTATGCCGCGTTTTCCCTCCACTCTCGCACACACAAGAAAAACTCTACGGTTATTGCCAGCGTCGAAAGCCTTCTATGGCTCCTAGGAACCCACGCAGGCCTGCCTCTCCCCCTCTCCGCGCCCCCCCCCCACCCGGGGCTTGCTCTGCTGGGGGCAAGAGGAGGGCGGGAGGGAATCGTTTCTCTCAAACGAAGCCCACACCAGTTCTGAAGCCAATTTCCGCCGCGGACTGTCCGGGGAGAATTAGGCGACCAACATTTTCACGGACCTCATAACTGCCCCAGGCTTGGATTGGAAACTGCCTGTGCCAAGGAGACTGGGGCCCGGGGCCAGAACGCCCCGAGGGGCACGCGCCTAGAAGGCAGATCAACTAGGGTGGGCTTCGAGCCCTTTCCCAGACTGCTCTGGGGCGTCTGGGGACTGACCAGAGCGCAGGGGGCGGGGGACACTTACTTCGTTATCCGCACGCCTTCCTCGTTGGCATCAGAGCCGGACAAATCCCAACCCGCGCCAGGCAAAGATAAATTACTCCTGGCTCCCCCAGCAGCTCTGGGGCCTGGGCGGGGGCGGAGCGGTGAGGAAGCCGTCGGGCCGCCTAAGGTAGGGGTGGTGAAGGTCCTGCACCCATCCTCAAATGAACGAGCCCCTGCGGCCCGGACAGAGAGATGAGTCCCAGGGAGACGACTGATTGCAGATGCGTGGTGGGCAACTAGCTTGTGTTAGTGAGCTGAGCGCCCGGGAAGTCGGAGGGTCTGAAACCAGGGGAACAGACAATGCAGACGCCCAGAGGGCGGGAGGGGACACGCGAAGGTCGGCCCAGGACCTGCCTCAGTCGAGGACTGGGAGCTTTGTGCACTGCGGTCCCAAATATAGGGGATGGGAGAAGGCGTCGGGGGTGGGCAGTGTCTGCCCTGAGTAAGGAAAGCGAAGGGACATGATTTGAAGGTAAGGGAGACTTTGGTTGAAGGTGTGCAAGTGCTTCCTCCGCGGCCGCGGGCTGGGAAGCCCAGGAAGGCGGAGGGCCTGCTCCGAGCACAACTCCAAGGACACATGACAACGCCCCCAGGCTCTTGGATCCTTTCACTCCTTTTCAGAGTCTAGAGCTTAACAGCGGGATCTCCTGCAGCATCGCAGGCAGAGAATGACTGCCCTGCCAGACTAGTTCTTTAAAATAGAAATCGACTTTAAACGACCAGTGACAAGGCTATGGGGGACAGAAAACGAAACACCAAAGGAGCTGTCGCTGCCTCCCCGCCCCCACCCCGGGGCGGCCGGGGTTTGAGCCCGGAGTCCCGCTCCCGACCCGCAGCGTTTTCTGTCCGGAAACACCGAGCAAGGAGGACGGGTCTGTCCCATCTCTAATCCCGGGGCCCAAGGTAGCGGCGAAGAAGCCCGCGACCTCGACTCATCCTTACGGCCCCGTCGCCTTGGAGCCCGGTCACCGCCCGGGTCGCAGACCGGAGATAAGGCGTCCCCTCCCGACAGCGCCACCGCGTGGGCTGCGACCGAAACCTGCGGCGCCGGTTCAGTCCGCTGTGTCCGGGAGCCCGCCCTTCCGCGTCGCCTCACGTCCGCGGGTTAAGGATGCGGCGGGAAATGGGCAGGTCCCCGGCCCGGGTCACAAGCGGACCACCCTACACAAAAACCCACCGGGCAAGCAAAACCTCTGCGGCGTCCCAACCCCTTGTAATGAGAAGCATACCTGGGAATTCCAGGCGCCCCACGGGTGCCTTAAACTACAGGCAGGGCAGCCTGCGTGCTGAAATTTGCGCCCACCCGTAGCAGGGGCGAGCGGGCCCAGGAAGCCGGGTCCCAGGCGGCCGAAGCTCCAGCAGCTCCGGGAGCCTTTAGCGACCCTGGGCCCGCGCTGGTCTAGAACCGCGCGGGGGAGAGCGAGAAAGCCTTCTGCGGGACCCAAGGTGCCAAGCACTTACTGGGACCGAGGACGAAGCGGGTAGTCGGTCTATTTGGCGGTCCAAACCCTTCTGGAATGTCGAGGAATCTAGAGGGTTTCCTGGGCTGGTGACTCTCCTGTTCTCTCCGTCTCACGAAGCCCCACGGAAGCTCTCTTAGTCCGTCAAGGCTTGACCCCCGGGTTAACTCCCGGGTAGTCTGTGCCCGCGGTGTTCTGGGGCTCGGTTCTTCCCGGCCCCGCCGAGCCTTGCCTCCGGGCCCGCGGCCAAGCCCAGCTGAGCTAGGCATCACCTTGAGCTGCCCCAGCGCTACGTCAGATTTGAGAGCCCCCGTGTCGTTCTCAGAGGACTTCAATGGGTAGGTTGGGGCTTCTTTTTAATAAATTCAACAGTTCACACGCGCACGCACACACACATTTTGGGACTGTCAGCTCCTGAAAGGGATGATGACCCAGAACAATGTAAATTCACCTGGTACCTATCCAATTACAAAACTCCTAGCCCCACACAAAACAGAAGTGAGCCCTGGAGGCCTGAGCGGTCACGCCTGGCGGCCGCCACCAAATCCACCCTTACAGGACGCCAGCCCAGCGGGGAGAGCAAACGCGCTCTCGCCGGGGCCGCAGGGGCCGGTGCCCAGCCGTTCCCGCGGCGGAGCAGCTCCGCCAGCGCGCTGAGTTCTGGTGCCCATTGTCCGCCTGGCCTGCTCACCCACACCTCATCATTGGCTGTGACCTGTTCGCTTCTAAATTCTAGTACCCGTCGGCCACGCGGAGCTATCGCCAAGCATGCCAGGCCCGGCACTCGTGCCAAGTGGCTCACCTCAGCTCGCCGTGCCTGCCTTTGCCCCTGGTGCCAAGTGCCGGGCGAGAGGCGGCGGGTCAGGACGCGGACGCCGTCTGCTCACCTCCAGGAGCCGACAGTGGGTGCCTGCGGCGTCGCTTGGCCAGCCCTGGGGCTGATTTAAATAACTAATAAGCTCAGAGAAATTTTACGAGGGGAACTTTTCCTTTTAGTATCAATAAAGCCTAGTAATTGGGTTCGTTGGTTACCTAAGCTCGAGTTTCCTAGTCTGTCTCTCTCTCCTCTCTCTCTCTTTCTCTCTCTCATTCAAAAGCAACGTTTAAAAAAAAACGGCAACTGTGTGCATTTGTGTGGGGTGTGCAAGTGTGAATATGTGAAAGAAGTTGTTTGTTTCAAAAGTCCTTCGCCTGGAGAACAATCATCATTGTCGCTCTTGTGGTGAAGAGTTTTGAAAGGTGAACTGTTGTTATTTCAGAAGAAAAAAAATGTTGACAATTCAAGTATAAAACAAGGGAGAGAGGTTTCTAAAGATTTTTCCCTTTGGATGTGACAAAGACATTTGCAATGCTTCCCTAATAGTTTGCATTTTAATGAACTTTTACTACATTTTGACTTCAACTCCTGGATGGTAGTGGTATCGGTTGTTTTCAGTAGACTTCTATACTATCATGCACTCCAAATTTTTGTTTAAATTTTCTAATCTTTTTGGAAAGCATGTTCTTAGTCATAAAGAATTTTTCCACCTGGGAACCATGCCTCAATTTAAAAATATAAAAGACCTTTCATGAATAATAACTGCAAATAGCCCATTTGTTTCTGTCCACGGAGTTGTTGGCGTCTATACAAAATCTCAAAAATCTAAAGGCAATTCTAAGCATGTTTCTCTCCAATCATACACACACACACACACACACACACACATATATGTTTTCATTTGCTGTATGGAAGTAAAAAAATCTTTTAAAAGACTTTTTCGAAAAGCATTATGCTAAAATTTAACTGAACTTA